TCAAGGACTTTGAGTTGTCTGCACTTTCCAGTTTTGGCAAAGAATGTCATCCTCATCTGGCTAATCTGATCTTGCATGCACCAGCCATCAGTCACAGACAAATGAAAAACTGGATCATTCTTTCTAATATTTCGTTTAAATCACCCCATGATGTATCTTTGGGGGGCGTTTTCCTACTTCCCCTACTACCCATTATTCTACAACCAAAAAGTACAGCCAGTACCATAGAATATTAGCCAATTTTGGTTGATCTCCTCTACAGCCATTTCCCAAGCCTGCCCATCCATTATGAAGTTCGAAGCAATGCATAGGCCAATTCTCCTTGTTTCAAATTGATCGATATCCTCATCTTACATTTTGGATCATATAAAGTCTAAATGGCTTTAAAAGGGCCAAAAGTGTGGTGCATATGACAAACTTCTTTCCCCTGTCATATTTGCATTAGATTAACGTGCGTTTTGGGGTTGTTGTTTTTTTTTTTTTTTAATCTCTTTCTTCTCACCCAGCTGGAAGATTTAGAGGCAAAACCAAGACTTCTCCTAATTATTTGCGGAGTTTCTTTTTCCTGTAAGGTTGTGGGGCCTGAACTCCTTAAGCTGCTAGAAAATTTCCTCGAATTTTCCACATGCAGGAAATTTGGGGTGAAAAGTAATGCCCAACAAATGCCTATAAAGGAAGTTAGTGACAAGTGGCAAGTATTGTTTGTGGGATATTTGGTCAATGAAATGTTAATTTCCCAGAATGAAGATTTAGTAAGAGAAAACCAGGATTATGTAAAAGGACCCATGCCTCCCTTGGAAGAATGCGCGTCCATATGACTTTTGCCAAGCGCCTTGACCCTCAATTTCCTGGTCGTCCATTCCACTCACGTTTCCCTCGCCATTCGCACCCAAAGCCGGGCCCGGACTCAAAATAACTGCAGAGACTTATAATAAAAATAAATCAACATCTGGGCCGGCCGGGGCAGCCCAGCTGACTGCAATGCCAGCATCTTAACAAGTCATGGGGGTGACATTAAGGCGATCGAGTTTCTCCGGCTTCGTTCCGCACCGAAATACGCTGGATTTCCTCTAATTTTTCTTAAGCCTTTTAAAAATAAATTACATCTCTGCCTCAGTGCCTGGCTGCACAGGGCGCCGGAACTCTTAAGGACGATAAACTCCCGAGAGACATCAGGATCCTGAGTAGTCTCAGGACTGCCAAGAGGCTCTCGCCTTACTGTACCGCTTGGGGGCTGGTGGCTCCACATTTTCCATGAGGGGTTCGATCAAATAGTGGCTGATTCAAAAAAGGGAGGGGCACATCTGAAAAAATCCAGTGTCAATAGTAATAACAATAATAACAAGAATTAATATGTAAATGCTAAACCTTTTAAGGATTATCTAACACTTGAAGTAAACTTGTGAGGGAAGCTCTTTTAAATTTTGTTTTAAAGATGAGGAAACCGAAGCACAAGGAGATTGTATCCTTTATTCAGGGGTACACAATCAGTAAGTGGTCAGTAATGGGGAGTCCAGCACAGTTTCCACCCCATCCTCTTATTGGAGTAGGGAAGAAGAGAGGTCAGGTGGAGATCATTAGCAAGCCAAGCTCATTCACAAACAAAGCTGAAAAAGGTGCTGCCAGTGCTGGGTTAGAAATACGGTATTCCCTGGACAATTGAGGTGACTAGGTTGAAATTAGCTATGGACATTTGTTCCAGTTAATTCAACCTTCTACCAAGTTGCACTACTGGATGATCTGCCAAAAGTACTGACCCGAAGCCTAGATTTTCCTAGTGGCAACCCTGCTAAAGTACTACAGAGCATGTCCGCTTCCCCTCCCCCACTTCTCTTGGCTCCTCTGTGCCAGGCAGACAGGATTTTCCTTCTCTAAGCTCCAAGAGTGGGGTGTCTGAGGCAGCCACCCCATCACAGACTCCTCTCTACACTTGGAGATGGTTCCTGTCACGCAGCCCCATGCCCACATCACGTTTTCCTGGGCTGGAGTAAGGGTGGAGGGCAGGTGGGAAGATTTGATTTCTCTTCATGTCAGGGGTGGAGACTGACAAGCAGACGCAAGACAGTGGAATGGAACAAAGTCCAGGATCCCTAATGTGGATTCCTCATTAGTGCCTGTATCCTCCATGAGAATGGATTTTAATGGATGCAATGGGCCAAACAAATCAAAGCAACCTAAGAGGCCTCTCTAACCTGTCCCTGTGACACAGGGGCACCCTTGCATAAACTAGAGGAGAAAGGATGAGGATAATTCCAATAAAGTACTAAGGGTCATGGGCCTTATCTCTAGAGGATAAGGCCCACCATTGACTTGGACCATATCTTGGATGTTAAGTGGCTTTTTCCTCATGGCCACTCTTTCTTTCCACAACTGTGCATAGCCCTCACGCCTTGGTAATGAGGTCTCCTCTCAGTTTGTAGCCTACAACCTAGATCTCCAAGGTTTTTTCTGAGGAGGCCTAACAGTCTCATATCAGGAACCTCCATCTTTCCCATACCCATACCTTTCATCCCAACCAGCCCCAAAGGAAAACTACATCTATCAATTTAAAAAGGTGCCCAGTGGGTTTCTTCAGGAAGTGGCTCCAGAGTCATAGTTTCCATTGGGTGCAGGGGGAAAGAGTTGATGCTGGCTCCTAGAAATGTAATGACCACAGTGGGAACCAGATGAAGTCTCTGACGAATCAGGTGGTTCTGATGGAGTTGAAATATGTTTTTCAGTGGTAAGATCAGATAAGAGAGCCACTCATCAGATGCTAAAACCTACAGAAGACAAAAACACCCAGGGAAGAATCATGTGTGCTGTGCCCTGTGACCTCATGCATCAAGGTTGTGACTTCACAGCCTCTGAAGTGAATTGTAATGAGGTAGTATGCACTACTTCTTCAAGGGATAGATCCAGCAAGGAGACCCCTATGGGCAACTATGCCCAAGGCAATTCCAGCCTACACTTTTTTTCTTCTTTTCCCTCACAGGTGACTGCTGAGATTATTTATGTGTGGTACTTGGAGTAAGGGAAAGTAGCCAGTCTCCACAAACATCTGAGGGTATCATTTTCCATTTTTCCATAACATAATGTAGGCGCTCTGGTAGTGTAGTGGTTACAAATCGGGCTGCAAACCTTAAGGTCTAGAGTTCGAAACTACCAGTTGTTCCATGGGCGAAAGATGAACCTTTCTGCTCCCATAAAGATTTACAGCCTCGGAAACCCTGTACAGGGTCGCTGGCTGTGGTGGGAATCAACTGGACAGCACTTAACAGCAACAACATAACATAATGTAAGTTCGCTGGTACATAACATAATGTAAGTTCGCTGGTAGATACCAGGTCTTTGGAACGCTTTTGGGAGCCAGGAAAGTCTCTTCCATGCAGGTTACTTTGTTGAACCCTTCCATTTTACTGCCTGAATAACTAGGCCCCAGAGGCATCTATTTCTGTGAAACAGTGAAGAAAGGCATGGAAGAGGACTAGTAATTGTGGGCAGGCCCCAAATCTGTCTAAGGATGATGAAGCAATAACAGGACACACAGATTCAAAATAGCAAGGAGAACAAGAAGTCATTTATTTCCAAAGAAAATAGTAAAATGGAGGTCCCTGTACACAAATGTCTTTGGAGAGGAAAAGAATCACAGATTTTATCCCATTTGTACATATTTACAACAAGATTAAGCCACAACTTTGAACAATGTTTTTCATTCAACAATCACATAACAATGTTTTTTCCCAAGTTAGTTCATAATTTAATTGATGCTAAGGGGACAGATAATAAATCACAAACAGTGTGGGTAGGAAGGATACCAAATAGTCTAAGGCTTAAGTCAGACTTTTTTTGTGCATGTGTGAATTATGATTACAAAACGTTTGCCTGTCGGTATAATTCACATTCATTGCTATCATTATATTTTCCCATAAATTAGCGATATAAACAAACATATGGAGACCTCCAGTAAACAAATAAAAATCAATATAAGAGACAACATTTTGCAGCAACTATAATAACAGCATGGGTTACAGCTTGGGGAAACTTCTTTACAAATCATTTAGTCATCACAAATAGGGTGGGGTTTTTATAAACTTGTTTTTATAAATCACCTTTAAAACCACAACAGGAGATTGAAGGAAAGCTAGATAGGATGAGCATTTCGTCCATAGACATTATCTAAAAACTTCGACTGCATAAGAGAATGGGGTCAGGGGAGACCTGCATGCACGTGGGGTAACTATCTTGTAGACCAAATCTTCTGAACTCCAATGGCCAAGATTCTGAAGAAAATGTGAAATTATTAAAAAGTCCCTTTCCCTCAAACCAATCTCTTCTCTATTAATGGGAGAAAGACCTATCTGATTGCTGGTAGTGGAAAGAAGCACACAGTGGGTCTACTTTTGGCAGAAGTTTCATTTGAAGGATTGGGGAATATCAGCAATTGCTTGGCTGCAGCCTTAAGTTCCAAGGTTCTTGGGCAAGAATACTGGAAGCTAGAGGGGTCCTCAAAGTTCAACTAGGTGACTTTCTTGGACTGATTAGATGCAGGCCTCAGCAGAGACATCTAGATACACAAGCATGTGTGTGGGGTACACACACTCTGCAGTCTCCTTCCATGTCCTGTAGTTTGTACAAAGAACCCATCAACATCTGCACACTTCACCAGGCCCTGGCTCTGATGTGTTGCCTTTGTTTTTCCCTTGAAATGACTTAGCCCTAACGTTATCTGTTGGTGTAGTGTGTGTGTGTGTATATGTGTGTATTTTAAAGAAGTTGGATTTTATCTCTTTAGAGATGGTTTGAAACTAACAGGACAGGGGGAGTTTGACAGAGAGGAGAACAAATCGCTGACAAAGAACCTTTTACGTTTCATCAGCGTTGTTAAGACGACAAGCAGGAATGTCTCAGATAATAACTCCCACTTCAAAGATTTCTCAGCTCAATAGAAAGCGGACCATCCTTTTTATTCAACCACAAGGACTGGCACTAAAGAAGACTCCACTGTTTGATTTTTTTTCCACCATGTTTATTTTTCCCCTATTCACTAGGGTACTTGGATAAAATAAACAACAAGACAATTAAAGGAACATGGACTTCTAACTTTCCTGCCATCTTCCCCATTCCCTTGGCCTTGGGCTCTTGAAGTCGTGCCCAGGGCCAGCCTAGGCCTGAAAGGTCCCACACATCCAGTGCTGGAGAAACAAGTTTGGGAACCGAGAGAAACTTCTGAGATGGAGAGGCAGAACAGGCTGTGGTGGGAACCAGCCCGAAAGTATCTGGAGGGAAGTCTGAATCCTGCAGACACCTCCATAGTGGCTCCCTTCCCCCCAAGTCTCTATCCAATTCAGATCTCCACCTTTATCAAGATCCTGAGAAATACTTTACACAAAACCGAGCTGGGGATGCTCATTGGTTAAACTTCTGAGGTTGCGCTAAAGCCATTTACTCCTGACGCTGAAGCCTCTTTGGGGAGTAGTCAAGAGGCGCGGAGTCGAGTCTCCTTCCTTTCCGAAAGCGCCAAAGCATCCGGGCTCAGAGTGAACCCCTAAACGCAGGCTTGGCAGGCCCTGGGAGGAAGTGTATACTGGCGAAGGCAGTGACAGTATTAAATGGCGTGAAAGCAAAGGTCAGCGCAAATGTATCTTAATAGAGTGTCTGCAGAGAAGTGTGCCGCCTTTGAAGCGGCCGCTCCCCGCGCGCATTTCCATGGCGAGCCTAACGCGGCATGCTGATGCACCGTCAAACTCACACTTTCAACCCCAAAACCCGACTCTTTGAACAACCCGAGCTTGATTAGACCTTTCTCCTTTTCTTTCCCCTCTTACAAACCATTTCCTCGCCTTTAGAAACTCGCCATCAAACCCAAATGCGCCCTCTGATCACCGCAGAAAGCAGAAACAAAGGGGGCTGAGCGGCGATTCAAGCGGCCCTTTTCTTCCCTCACATTATTATCCATTTTTATTATGATCGGGAACAAGTGCCCATTCGCGTGGGTTTTGTTTACCGGAAATTAAATGAAAATGATTTAGTCCGCGTCAAACAAAAATATATACTTGTATACACAAGAAAAAAGGCCTGTTAGACGTAAATATTATGTCCTTAATGAAAAGCCTGGACGGGCTCCAGGCTCGGCCTTTCAGGATTTCAGTGAGACTTGCCCATTGCCATAGAAATCCTAACTTACCATGAAGATGCACCGTGGCGAAGAAACACTGCTTTGTGAGCGGGCCCTTTGATGTCGGAGGCTCGAGATGTGGGCGCTCAGCTGCGCCGGGCGAGATTACCTTGAGAGCAACGCGGTGGACATCTGTAACAAGCAAATGAAAAATTAAAGGCGATTAGTGACCAACCAAAGATTTTTATTTTATTTCATTATTTTCAGTGGGGGTGGAAAACAAAATGGGGGTCTACAAACAGTAAAGACAGAAACGAGAACTTTTGAAATTTCGGCAGAAGGAATGAGTTCCCTAGTTGCCCTCTGCACCTTGGTCGTGGGGCGGGAGTTACAGGATGGGAACGAGTTGTTGGATGCCGAATGCCTGAGCTGGGCTAGGAGGCCTCTGGACTCTATTGTCACGGGAGAAGGAAATTGCAGTCCCCCTACCACCAACGTCAGGGTGCACTACGGATGTATTTGAAAGATTTCGGGTTTTATTCGAGATTGTGTAAAGTCAGTCCCACTCCCCTCCCGTTAGGGTTTCTTTATCTGATGGGAGTTGTGAGGCTGCAGGGTAAGAGTGAGAATTGGCTAATGGTATCTAAAAAGGAGAGAGTTAGAAAGAAAACCAAGACTCCTTTTCTGGCTCAGCTTTTAAACTTGAGCTCATGAGGGGACTTCTCGCCGGTGGGACTATTTCTCCCTCAATTTATCTCCAAATTCTTAGGGAACCAGGATAGATGTGTCAGAGTTTTCCTTTTGTTTCTTAGAGAGGATTTCACTCCCATCATCCCACTACTGGGAGGCAAATTGAAAGACCGGTACTGATCCCCACCCCCAACAATTGCAAAGGCCTTTCTGTCCCCACCCTGTCCCCAATATCTTTATTTGGGGACTTGTACTCAGTATGTCAAATATGCATTCAGTGTAGAACCATTGAGAGTTTTTCTTCACAACATTTATTATCTCAGCTCATTTCTCTTATGTATTCCCCCCCACACACACACATGTCCCACTCCGCCTTTAAAATAAAATCAGCATTGAGTGATTTTCACAAAGACCATCATAGCATTGATGAGAGTCACTGAAGCCTCTGTCGCCTTGACCAGATCCCTTTGCTGAGCAGGCCTTGACTCAGTGATGTCACTGGCCCACTTCTCTCTTCCCTGTCCCCCAGACCCAAGCACCCCTAAGTTTCCACAGTCTGTGCCTAGACAGGAGTAGGAGGTGGAAAAGCTCGCTAGAGCCCTCACACAGAATTGCATAGTGAAGTCCCTCTCGTGCTGTTTGTATTTCCTGTTGTGGTGGACTTATCCCTCTACCTCAAATGTATGTGTGCATAATGGCACCTGTGGACAGACAGGCAGACAGACATGTATGTATGTGTACCAGAACAGGTTCATAGAGAAGGAGAACAAGTAACCTACAGGGGATAAGGCTGAAACTCCCTCAACTTTTCTCCTTTACTGAAGTCCTTAGAGGAAATATTCGGAATCTGAGCCTTGTGTATTTTTGTTTCAAGTGTAGCTGGGAGAAGAGAAAACGAAGAGGGACAAAAAAAGAAGGAAATCGAAGACAAGAAACGGTTTTAGAATTTCTCTGCCATCCTCTTTGCTCAGAACTTCTGCCGACGTGATGGTTGGGGGCATGTGGGAGCACAATGAGAACTAGGAGGTGTGTGTGTGTGTGTGTGTGTGTGTGATCTAAGCGACTGAGGACTCCAGGAAATCGTGTCCCCGTCTATGAATCAAGAGGGGATCTTGTGACCTTACTTTTGCCACCTGCAATTGCTAGGATTGTGCATACATTCTCTCACTCTCTCTCTGTATATTTTCCTTTGACCGTCTCTTACTCTCCTTTCTTTATCCCTGACAACGGGTTCATACTACCCAGGCAGTCCTGGGCTGTGTGTGTGTGTGGGGGGGGGGTTGGGGTTGGGTGGATGTGATTGTAGAATAAATATAGGGACCATGTTTATATTTTAAATAATATCAGCACATAAAATGAGCTTTGTCAGTTCATTATTTCTGATATCCTGCATTCATCCCTTCCTTCCTTTCTTCCTCTCTCTCTCCAAGTCTCAGTAACACGACCTAGACTTGCCATCATCGGTGTACGCTGAAGCAGTAACCCCAAGTGCAGCAGCCCTAAGACGAGAGGTAGAAACGGGTGATGACTTGGGACTGGGGTGAGCGGCCGGGGCGGTGGCGGCGGCGGCAGTACCCGCGCCCTGACACACGTACCATTCGCTCAGGTCCGCGCCACGCGCCGCCACCGCAGCTGAGGAGGACACCGGGGGCTCGCGGCCGCAGTCCGATGAGGGCGATATGAGGGCAGACGGCGTGGTTGACTCGTAGCCAGAGCTGGGCGGCGGCGGGGAGCGCCCGTGCACCTTCATGTGCTTGCGGAGCGAGCTGGGGTGCGTGTAGCATTTGTCGCAGCCGCGCACCTTGCACGTGTATGGCTTGTCGCTAGTGTGCACGTGCGAGTGCTTCTTGCGGTCGCTGCTATTGGCGAAGCGCCTCTCGCAGCCTTCGAACTCACACCTGAAGGGCTTCTCCCCTGGAGGAGGCAACATAGAGACGTTAGTGAGCGTGGGCAGAGCCCCCAACTAGCTTTGCACCACACCCTCATTTCTTTCCCATTTTCTGAAAAAGAACCACAAAGATATTCATAAATCAGAAACCCCTTTCCTGCGCGCCTCAGGTCTGGCACCTCCTCCGCCGCGCCTAGTGCGCCCCCTGTGCGACCCCACCCTCCACGCCTTCACCCCTCCTACTCTCCCGACTGAGCCTGGAGGGGAGGGAAAGGAGGAGGAGCGACAGTGACTCCATTTTAGTTGAGTTTCCGTCATAGATAATTCTGATTCTCCCGGATTGTTTTTCTCCAAATTTTCTCTACTAGAGCCAGAAGCACCTCTGTCTGGAGAATAAAGTTGCCTGAGGAGCTTGCATCTGTTCGATTTAAAGTTGCTGGTGCAGACAAACTTCTCTGCTATCCCCCCCTCCCCCCACACACACACTGTCCACGCCCGCACACACCGAATATTGGCCCAAATTGCTTCCTAAAGTGAGTTTTGTGCAAACACCAAGGCGATGGAATACTTTAAAGATGTGTACTCGATGCACTCGGCGTGTACATAATGTGGATTCATTCTGCAGGGAATGGTATTCTGAACAATGATTCACTTCAGAGACGATTTTTTACGGGAAACGGAACCCCCTCCCCCTTTCCTCCTACCCCCTGAGGACGAACATTTAGCAGCATTCTTCAATTGTTGCCTAAATCGTCCGGATCCCTCCAGACACGCGCTCCTGCAGCAATATTTTTATTGCGCTGCTTCAGCCGACAGTGCCAGGTCGGCGGACCACTCTCTCCAGCCTCTCGCATAGCAGGCGGGAACCAGGGTACGACCCTCAAGGTCCGCGGGCTGAGCTAGATCGAGACCTCTTGCGATGAGCGCAGGAGCTGCAGTCAGAAGCGTCCAGGCTTTGAGGACGCGAGGGCTAGCAGGCAGCCGGGGTAAATCCGCACGCTAGGGGCTCGGATAAGTGGCTGCGATGCCCTGTAGAGCCGAGGGAAGGCGCGAGAGAACATTAGGGTGGAAAACTGGCAGAGGACCGACCCACATTGGGCGCTTGCTGCCCGCTATGTTCGCTAGAGTGGAGAGAAGGATGAGACCCCAGGAACTGGGAAGTGCAGATTCCTGCCGGAGCTGCAGATTTTCAGGGAAGAGGGAAGAGGTATATGGTCGCTTTAATCAAATGAGCCCCGCACAGCGACCTGGGTTGAAGAAACGGCTGCCAAGCGTCTGGCTAAGAGGAGGAGATGCTCGATCCGGGATTGTTGCCTTTGTGGTCGTTTCTGCCTCCACTTCCTAGAAAGCCGGTCGCTTTGGGGCAAGTTTGGGCTCTGGTGGCCAAACAAAGCCCCTGTTGCGAGTCCTGCGGAGGCTCGAGCTGAGTCGAAGGTTTGCGCGCGTTCTCCCAAGGGAGGGGTATTGCTGGTAAACTGGGCCCTCAGTAAGGTATAGGCATCTGCCATTTCTCAGGACAGCGGGATAAAGATGAAGAATTCATCAGTGTCCCTATTTGCCCCTTGCTTTCTCCCTTCTGGTCCCTGTCAGCATCTACAAAATCAGAACTTTTCTTCTTCCCGTCTTTTCTCTTTAAAATCACACACACACACACACACACACACACACACACACACACACAGAGAGAGAGAGAGAGAGAGACAGAGACAGAGACAGAGACAGAGACAGAGACAGAGACAGAGAGAGAGAGATGCAATTATTAGCCTGCAAAAGAAAACAAGGTTTTGCTGAGAAAAATAAGTGGAATGGAATCTGAGGTTGACATCCCTTCTTAAAAAAAAGAAAGAAAGAAAAAAATCCTGCTATGCACTAATACCATTTTAGAACGCCTCTTTAGATACCTATGTAAAAGAGAAACTAGGTTTTCGCTCCAGACGAGGGGCAAACGCGAGAAAATCGGGGAACTGAGAAGACACTGACAGCCTGAATTTCCGAGGCCCTTGGGAGGCCAGGTGATGCCGGGGCTCAGCACTCTCTCAGTCTCTCCAGAACTGCAGGAGGCGTCCTAGTCTCCTCTCTAACATCCTTCCCTATCCCATCCCCCAATCCGCGGCACCCCGCCTCCACACCCCGCCCCCTGCGGCCCGGGCGCTTGGCCCGGGGTGGGGAGATAGATGTAGAGAGGCAGGGTTAGGCCAGGCCCCTGCCGCCCTCCTGGAGTGGCCTGGGCCTGGGGCTGCGCTGCGAGAGGCCAGGAGTCTCCTCCCAGAGGCTCTGTAGCCGGGTGAGGCCTCCTCTCCCGCCCAGCTCTAGGCCTGACCAACCAAGTTCCGAAGCGTTGGGAAAGCTTGGGCAGCGCCATTTTCTCGCACTTGTGGCTAGGCCAGGTTGTCTGGGCGCATTCGCCTCAATTTGGTCTCTTCTCCTATCCCACGGATCCACAGCTTGCCTCTCTCTGTTCGCCGCCGATGAAGGTGGAGTGAGGCCCTAGCCGAGGGGTCTCAAGAGGCGCGTCAGGCGGCGGGGTCTGGGCAGAGAGCGGCGGCTGGCCGGCGCCTCCCTCGCGGCGGCACCATTGTTCTGGCCTCGCAGCGATCGCCACCCAGTGAAACCTATCGGCGCGGGCCTGTGATAGCCACCTCGGAAACCAGGCCCGGATTATTCAGATCTCCTAAGAAATCAGCTCCTGTTCTCCTTTTCCGCGACTCGAGGAAATGAAACGCCATTAATATTTGAAAAGGCAATTATTTTCCTGTTGAATCGAGAACTGTCTTCATGAATAATTTGTAGCGAAGTCTATTGCCATTTGAAAAACATTTTGTTGGAGCCCCCCCCCCCCCCCCGCCTTCTTTTCATTACTTGAGTCGGGGTCCGGAGTTGTGCGAAACTCCGGGGCAGGAAAGCGTAGATCCTTTTTTCTTTTTCTTTCTTTCTTTTCTTTTCTTTTTTTTTTTTTGAAGTAATGAATCAGAACGACCGGTGGAAAAGACACATTTAGAATTGCGCCCTAAAAATCTCAAACCTGTGCCAGCCCGGGCGCACTAAACTTGTTTCTCTGCTGTAGGTCGATTGAACTAAGAATTTAACCATTTTCTGCTTCACAGACTTCAAACAGTAGGCCGGCAAAGAGCAGTAAAAAGTTTGTTTGTTTAAAACCTCCCTGTCATTAAGGATGAGTTCCTTCTCCAGTTTAGGGGTTGTTTGCCTACCTTGGCGGTGCAGGCCAGCAGAGGCAGGAATAGCGGGTTAGGATCAGGGTCTCACATTTTACCACTTGGATAAAAGTCTGGGGATCGTCAGATACTTGCAAGTGGGTGAGTGGGAGGGGTGGCGATGGAATAAGCTTGGGAAAACCTTACACTTCCAAGATATGCTTTGGAAGAAAAGGACAAGACTCAACTTGGACTTTGTTCTGAGACCCTCCCTTTGTGCAAAAGTGTCTTGGCCTGTGACCTTCCCTAGCAGGCAGGATTTGGGGGTGGAGGCAAGATTTAGATAGCTTCTTTCCTGGGTTGTGTGTCAGCTTGTGGTAGTTCTTTGGCTGTGACAATTGCAGATGTTTCCAGCAAGAATGGAGGTGAGTAAGGCAGGGTGTTGTGGAATAGGAAAAAAGGGGATGTGAAGTTGAAACTTAATTTCATCTTCTAGTCTTCCTAAGAATTCTCCTACCCCGCCCCCAAAATGAGGGAGGAGGGAAGATGTTGACTTCTTAAACTGGGGGGGGTGGGGGGGGGGACACAAGACATCCCTAGCTAAGAAGAGTACAAACATCACTGCTAAACTAATTAATGTAACTTCACAGGCTGTTCTGGGAAGTGTGAAAACTTTCTTCTTGCAATTGCATTAATTAGAGATGCTTCTGGCCAGAGTAGTTCAACTTTTCAGGCTCTTGTGCACGACTCCTTTTCTCTCTGTTATTTAGAAATAACAGATGTGGTTGACACATGTCCCCATTTCACTTAACAGCTCGGTAAATGACATTTAAGGCGGATTGGTCCCGTTGGGTCTCTGCTATTGCAAAAAATAAGGTTCTTCATATGCCCCAAGTGCTGGACTAGCAAGGCCCCTCAACAGAGTCAAATTGAGCCCATCAAACACCTAAACCCAAAATAAAACACAAAGTAGCTGATGACTATGCGGTCCAGACGTCCATCAGCTAGTAAGGCTGATGGATGCAGGAGTTCTCGCCAGGATCCCAAAGGGACCGCGAAGAAAAGTTGTATGACAATGTTCCTATTCCTTAAACCAAGCTCCGTTAGCAGGGCGTACACGTTTGCACATACAAGAACTCAGTCACATTCATCCTCATCCCCCAGAACAGAAACCCCCTCACTACCCTTCCCATACACAGCCTCAGAAAACATATGGGATTCTAAGAATAGAAGTGCATAATTAATGTTTTATGGCCTTGGCACAGAGTAACAGACCAACCCCACCCCACCCCCATTTGGAATTTAGGAAAATCCAGCCCCTAGGGCCAGGAATAGGCCGCCTGCTTCCCGCGAGACAGACAGTGCGGAATACTGACCTGTGTGAGTTCGTTTGTGTATTTTGAGATTTTCTGATCTAGCAAAGACCTTCCCACACCCCGGGAAAGGACAAGGGAAGGGTTTCTCGCCCGTGTGCACACGGATGTGATTTACAAGTTTGTATTTGGCTTTGAAGGGCTTGCCCTCTCGCGGACACTCCTCCCAGAAGCAGATGTGGTTGGCCTGCTCAGGGCCGCCGACGTGCTCTACGGTGACGTGTGTGACCAGCTCATGCATGGTGCTGAAAGTTTTGGAGCAGAGACGCGGGGACGCAGGGCCGTCGGCCGCTAACCACTTGCAGATGAGCTCCTGTTTGATGGGCTGGCGCATGTAGCGGAAGAAGGCGCCGGGGCCGTGGGGCGTTGCGAGGTTCACCGTCAGGTTCATGCCCCCATAGCCATGCAGGGCAGCTGCAGCTACCAGGGAATCGCTGCGGGTTGCGGGCCCAGGCGCGAAGGGCTCAGGCCGCGCGTACATGTCTCCTGGAAGTCCCAGACGTAGGAGTCCATTCAAAGGACTGCTGGGGGAGGCCGGGGAAGGCTGCTCGAGGAGACCTGGGAACACCGACGGGCTGGCAACGGCGGCGACTTGGGGGCCATGGTGTCCGGAGCTGCTACCTGTTGTCGAGACAAATAGCACGCTTGAGAACGGCTGGCGTGGGCTCACCGCTCCACCCGGCCCCGGGGGGCAAGCCCAGCCCAGCCACACTGCGGCCTCTGCCGTCAGCGCCGGAATACGGAGCCAGAAGGCGGTCGTAACAAACCGAGTGGACTGCGGGTGACCAAGCGCCTCCGTAGCTGTCCGGCCTGGCAGTTGTTCCGCCGAGCCTTCTGCAGCCCCATGAGTCGCAAGGGAAAGGTGGAGGAGGGATAGGAGAAAAGGACAGCGGGGTGTGCAGCGCTGGGTCTGAAAGGTGCTGGGGGCCCCCCGGGTTCTGCTCCAGAGAGGTTGGACCTGCGCCCCAGGCGCGCTTCGGCTGCCAACTCCCTGTGGCGCTCGGGGTCGCAGAGCCCTGCAGGGGAATAGAGGTGTTGGAAGTGGCAGTAGTGGAGATGGTGGAGTTGAAAGTGATGGTGGAGTTGAAGCGACCCAGCCATATATACTGATTTCGGCTCCCGGCTGGGCTGGGAGAGGGCAGCCTGAGGCATCCCGGTTCGGGCTCCCAGAAGCTCCTGGTGCCGGGTGGGTTGCTCACGCCACCATCACCTGACGGCGGGGAGTGGAAAGAACAACCACACACATAAAAAAACTTCTGCAAAGTTTTTTTTTTTTTCCCCCTGTCAAGTTTTGAGTCTAGGTTTTTCCCCTCCTCTCTCGATCTTTAATGTCTACGTGAAATCCCTTATGCTACAGAGGCAGCAGCGGGGGCGCGAGAGGAAGTGAATAGAGATTCTGGGCCTTGGTCGAGGCCCGCGGAGAAGAACAATCGCCCAAGTCTCCCATTGGCCCGCAGCAGGGTCCTACGTCAGCGATAACAGGTCCCGCCGCACGCGGACACACACACACACACACACACACACACACACACACACACACACACGAATGCATGCGCGGCGAGAAAGAACAGTCACACAACGGTCTCGCAGGCACACACACACACACACACACACACACACACACACACACAC